CGCTGAGGTACTTCTTCACGCGGCCCATTGTTACTACTGCGTTGTTGCTGAGCGCTTGGATCACCTGCAACGGTGAGAGGAGGCCGTCTTGGTTGATACGCTGCAGGACTGTGTCTAGCTCATCACCTGCTTCTTCGAGGATTTTCGGGCTCGAGGCGAAGTATGTCAATGCGTCGACGTAGAGTTGGGGCTCGTCGGGCCCGTACCGGCGTAGCGCTTTGATGGCGCCCTGTGTATCCTTTGCTGAAGTGAAGGAACGGAAAATGTCCAGGCGGAGACCTTCTTGCTCGCGAACAAGGGTGGATCCTTCCTTGAAATTTGACAGATCGGAGAGGAGAAGCACGTTGGATGTGGAGATCGGAATCTAGGTGGGTTAGATATAAGGCGATGAATGGGCGATGGGACAGCTTACGTCTTTCCCTTCAATTAGTTTCTTGGCTTTTGTCTCCCATTCCTGTCTTTCGCCTGCATCCTTTTTCCCCTTTGCTGTGTCCAGGTACATCTCAAACAGTGTTGTGAAAAGATCAACCTTGGCGTCCTTCTTCAAGTCCGGCTGCTGCACCAAGGTCTCGAGGAAATCGATGAATTCTTTGGGATGATCCACAAATGCAGAGAAGGCTGTTCGCGGCTTGGGAATGTGATAATCTGGCGTCGAATTCTCAACCTTGTCTTCATTTGCCGCTGGCTCAGGGATTTCAGGCGTAGGTTGTGTGCCAACATTCATATACCGCAAAGGAAGAAGGGCAGCAAGACTTTGCACTGTGCTGGTCGTCTGCTCTTGAGGCTCTGGTGTCTGTTCTACCTCCGTGCGTGGTCGGTACTGGCCAGAATAGTAAACCTTGAACAGCTCCGCTGTCCGCTCGGGGCAATGTGTTAGCAATACTCGAGCGTACTTCATCAAATTGTGATAGGCCTAGCACTTATTAGCTTGTTTCCCCCGATGACGCAGACGCAGATTAGACATACCAGTTCAGCATCCAACCGCCAAATGTATTCCACTGCCTCAGCATACTTCTTAGAATCTTCGATTAGGATATCAACGACCATGTCGTTCTCGCCATGCTTTGTTGCTAGGTAGGCTGCTTGCTCATAGTATCCGCCTTGACGGCACATTGCAATAGCAGTTTCAAGATCAAATTTCAGCTCACCAGGAGCTTTGATAAACGAGTCTAGCTTGCTTGTGTCTTTGAGTTTAGCGTAGCAGTTCAAAAGAAGCGTTGTGTGATCAACCGTGGCACGGCCATGGTCGTGTAGCTCTTCAAGATACTCGATCAAGTTGTGAATACGTTGAGTGTCCAGGTACTACATCAAAGTTAGTAAGAGAACAATGCCGAATCCCAATTCTCACTGACTTTGCGAATGACCTGAGAAGGTTCGGTGTTATCAATGGCCCGGAGATACTGCTGCATAGCGGTATCATAGTCGCCCCGCTGGTACAAAAAGTCACCATACTTGCGGTAGATAGCATTCTGTTGGAGCGGATCAATCCCAATCTTTTGCGCAAGATTAATAGCAAGGATGTAGAGATTGCGCTCATATAAGATTTCGAGCTTTTGCTGGAGGGTCTTCTCCCTATAACGGAAGATCTAGAACCGGTTAGAAGAAAGACCAACACAAGATCATATCATTCACATACCTTGCCATCTGTCGTAAGAAGAAACAAGTCACCCCATTCCATGAAAATACGTTTCATAGGTGACGCCAGCGCTTCGCTATGCGCGATGAACTTGAGGTCGGTATCGAGAAGCGTGAACGTAGTCGTGCCAAAAATTTCCTCGGCGGGACTAGCACCGTATTTCCTTAGCGGATCGGACTTGCTAGTCCCAGCCTTGGGCGGACAGACGAGCGCCACATAGTCACGAAAAGCATCAATAGATGTCTTCGGGCCCTCGAACGCATAGCTCGCACCACGACCTCGCGGACCGTAGGTAAAGATCGCCTCATCCCGGGCAATTAGAACATCTCCGCCCTCTTTATCCAGAGTCATGCAGCCCAAGCCACAGCCCGTATCTTCCAAAACGCGCGCAGGCTGGCCCTGCCCTCGCCCGGCGATGACCAATGTCAAGATGCGACTCGTTGTTGAAATGTAAAGGGTGGTGACGGCGCCGATTTGGGTTTCAAGTCCGGTAATGGGTTCCTCGGATTCGAATACGATCCGTTGTCGCGCGCCTCGGTCGTGGATTAAATCGCCTCGGATGATCGTCACCGATCCGTTCGCGAAACCCACTGCTACCTGTGAGAGGTCGTCGACGGCTGCGAAAGCCGATATCTATACCATTATAAGTAAGTATTGACCATTTTATTCTCGCTTCGGATGCCAAACATACCGGGAACTGCCTCCTGGCATTTTGTACGGAGACCGTTGACAGACACCGCGGGCCTCCATCTTTTTTCTCCGTATCTAGAGCCCAGACCTTCAGAACCGGCTCGTTGGAAAGATCCTCCGCGACGGTCACTAGCAGAGCGGTATCGTTTATCTGCCGCATGTGCGTAATGGAACCGGTATCGTGAGCCTTGAACGATCGCACGACGCGGAAGGCCGAGGAGAGGATGTGGACAAATCCATCGGTAGTGCCAACGAAGAGGTTCGCGGAGCCAGTGCAGATACTCGAGAGGTCGCTCTAGGGGTGACTGTTAGATACGCCGTGGGCTGGAGCAGAGGGAGGTCGAGGCCTTACATCGAAGATTGAGGAGCTGTCCTCTGGTAGCTTCACCGGCGACACGTCGATGAAGTTGAATGCTTTCCACTGTTGCTTCTGTCAGCCATTATCCATTAGTAGGAAATTTCGGCATCTTACTGATGTCAGCGCCATCTCGGCTCGCCATTAATTGAGACGGGTGGAAGGCGACGGTGTGGTTCGGAGCTCTCCCCGCTGGCGCTCGGGCCACTTGGTTACTAGAGTCGATCTACGGATGGGCGCTCATCAACGTACCTGCGCTTACTGTTCCTAAGCAGAGTAGCAGGACGCTCTAACCAAACAGTAGAAATCATAATTTGGTTTTTCGGTGACTGTCCTCATGGTATCCGGGAAACAGTACTGCCTGGTTTTAAGATGAGCTTTCACGTTGATTCTGTCTAATCTAGTTCGTCGGTTTGAATACTAGCCGATATACATGCATCCTTCGCTCCGATACTATACAACAAACACTGTATAGTATGTAGGTCTTGGCCCAGTTGCCATAACTACTACTATGGGGCCAGCAGGATTCCGGTTAGTACATTAGTCTCGGACGACCTTCCTCTTATTCTTAGCATCGACTGATGGACTTTTGTTGAACCCATTTCGTTTCATCATTTTACCTATCAGGCTACGTTAACTTGACTAGGATGTAATAAGTCTCTTTTTGCTTCGTAGTTACCGGAGTTTAGGATGGAACCAGTATCTTTGTTTCGTAGTTAGCGGAGTTTAGTACTCGCACCGGATGGCATCGGCCCATATTATATATAGATGTCCTCCTCCCCCCCGACCAGCAGCACACCCCTCCTGACCTCAATACCATCCTTTGAGAACAAACCATCCATCCATCCATCATGGCTACCACCTCCCGGATCTGGCTTATCACTGGCACCTCGTCCGGACTTGGCCAAGAGTTGGCTAAAGTGGCCGCTAAGCGCGGGGATCGCGTGTTAGCCGCCACACGGACTCCGCATAAATTAGCTGAGCTCGAGTCAACCAACCCTAATATCAAGGCTGTCTACCTAGACCACAACGAGCCCCCAGCCCAGATCCAAGTAGCGGTCGAGACTATCCTAGCTGTCTATGGAACGGTCGACATTGTTGTCAACAATGCCGCCTACGTGCAGACAGGCATGCTTGAAGAGGCTACCGCAGAAGAGACTCAGCGTCAGTTCCAGGCTAATACCTTTGGCCCTCTGAACCTTTACCGCGCCCTACTACCACACCTCCGCGCTAAGGGGTCGGGCACTTTGGTTACCATCGGCTCTATGGCCGCCTGGTACCCTATGCCTGGCTGCAATCTCTACAACGCCTCTAAGGCCGCTCTGCGCTGGATCGGACTTGGGCTGGCGGGTGAGATCTCCCAGTTCGGTATCCGCCACTGTTTGGTCGAACCGGGCTTCTTCCGCACCGAGTTACTGAATCCGTCAGCCAATCTTTCTCAGACCGCAAAGTCCTCGCGTCTATCGGCCTACCAGGAGGTAAACAATACCACCGACTCCAACTTCGCCGCCTTTAACGGCGCCCAGCTGGGTAACCCCGTGAAGGGCGCGCAAGTTATCTACGACGTCATTACCTCCACAGGAGTCGCCGAGGGGAAACCCCTGCCTGCTCTCTTGCCCTTGGGGAGTGATGCCTGCGATGAGATTAGCAAGGCCGCATCTGAGACCTTGGCAGCGATTGAGGAATGGCGGGCGATTAGTTCCTTGACGGACTTTCCCAAAGGTTCGTAATTGTGTACCTAGTGTCACGGGCTTCTCAGGAATAATGTGATTTAAAACAGAATGAAAATGACAATACTAAGCCAGCACGATACACCCAGCTTAAATTACAGTACCCTTCCTTATCCGCATGTTTTAAAGTAGGTGAGTGACTGGGATAGACACCCGGTATGGCCAATGGCAGAAGAGGCCGCTTCTTAACCACAGAATGTGAAGCGACTGAACAAAAAATTCAAATATATGAAGTAAAGTGAAGATGCTTTCAAGCCGATGACTAAAAATTAAGTGGCTCATGGCCAATGGCGAGAATCATAGCGCCGTTATCTAAATGGCCGAGGAATTGAGGATAAAGGAAGTATGGTTCCATTTGATTAGGCTGTGCAGTCTATAAGTCTTATAATCATTTAAACCTATTTAAAGGGGATTGATAGGGTGCAGATTGCTTGACTCCGTGGTCTAGCAGTATCTGCACGATCTTGTCGTGTCCAGAACGGCTTCGCTACCAAGCTGAAGCTCTCAACACGCTATGGAAGATAAGAAAATGGGAAGATGGGAAAACCAAGAAGTGAGGAACTTAGTGGCTAGCACCAAGGAGTTCTCGTTATTGAGATACATCCATGTTTAAAGGGGAAGGGCGCGGGTCAGAAGTAGGAATTGCGTTGAAACTCCTGCTTGGCCGAGCGCTGCTCATGAAATCAAAACTTTGTTGAAGCCAACTACCAGCATCCGCAATTGCCTGACTGAGGTTGAAACTCTCCATTCCCTGGTGAACACCTTGTCCATCCTGGCCTGTTGTTGGCACCGATTCGCTTAAGGTGAGTGGTAAGGACGCAGCCTCTGTGGCGGATTGATAAGTTAATTGATGATCCAACTGCTCGGCCACTGATCGTGAGCTTTCATCATCTTCGCTTGATTGGGATTCCGCAGTGTGATATTCGTAGTCGAGAGATGTTGATTGACTCCTAGCAGAAGGAGAAGGGCTTCCGATATTGGCCGTCCTTTTTCTCTTGGAGCCTCTCGCCGTAGGTGAACCTGAGTCTGGTCTGGATGTACGCTGTCTCTTCTCTGTGCTAAAAGCGTAGGGTGTAGCTGCATCGAGCATGAACTGCGTATTCATTGCTTGCGTCATATTTCTGTTCATGGGTTTCAAGTTCCGATCTTGACCAGCTTGCTCAGTGCTGAAATTGAAAGGTGTAGCTGCATCAAGCATGAATTGCGTGCTCATTGCATGCATCCCATCCTTGTTCTTGGATATCGAACTCCGTTCTAGATCACGTCGAATTGACTCTTCTAGACGGTAGAATGGAGTGACATTTGCTGAGCGAAGTGAAGCATCAGGTGAATGCACTGCTCGGTCCGAATCCGGTGTCTCATCGTGAAATTCTGGACTGTCCAGGTCGTCTTGAAAGGACCTCTGGGCATGCAAAAGGGCAGCCAGGGTCGAAAGCTGGGTATCGGGGCTTTGGGGTGAGTCTTGTCCTGGGTCTACTCTTGCCAAAGCCGTCGAGTGCAGCGACGTTACCCGGTCTGACACTCCCAAGGGGGGTGGTACTTGTTGTGCAGAAGGGAGATCATCGTAGGTGTTATGCTCAGTTGATCCAGAGTGATCTGTGTTTTGGAATGTCGATGTATCTTTCTCAGTTGTAATATCTTCCGCCACGGCCTCTGTATCGGCGGCACCTTCTGCTGCGGCTTCCTCCACCCCAAGATCATCCTCTATGAGATCATCCTCATCTGCAAACCTAGTTTCTTTCGACAAGGTCTTGTGGCTTGCATCTTTCTTGATAGAGTCCTCATTTTGAACTGGAATTTCTTCAGGAACCGAGGGTTCAAGTTCAAGTTCAAGTTCAGGCTCGGGCTCGGGCTCAGGTCCAGGTTCAGGTTCAGGTTCAGGTTCAGGTTCAGGTTCAGGTTCAGGTTCAGGTTCAGGTTCAGGTTCAGGTTCAGGTTCAGGTTCAGGTTCAGGTTCAGGTTCAGGTTCAGGTTCAGGTTCAGGTTCAGGTTCAGGTTCAGCAGGATCCAATGCTTGATCCTTAGCGGAACTAGGACTGGCAGGTTCGAGATCGACTATGGATTTTTCTTTCAGAGGGCTGTCTTCTTGTATAAAAGTCTCTTCTTGCAAGATGCTTTCATCTCGCATAGGGGAAGTCTTCTCCTGTTGACTAGAACGTTCACGGGGCCACCTCCGGTATTCAAACCTCGGCAGCTGAGAGGAAGAATCAACGATTCGGAGAGACGGCTCCCGGGGCGAATGAGAAGGAACAGTAGGGTCCTTAGGTGAGTTCAAGGTGGCCCGAATGGACCGTAGAGTAGGTTCCTTCGGTGAATTTAAGCCGGCCCGATTGGACCGCAGGGATACGTGCTCGTTCGAGTTCACACGAGCACTCTGGGCTGTCTTTGCTGGAACAGTTTTGACGGTAGGGCATTTTTCTGGCGATGCCGGCGTCTGTGGAACCTGGACCTGAACAGAGCGCGGTCCCAGTCGACGAGCTTTATCCGACTGACGAGAAGCAACGGATATTGTTGGCGAGCTCGGCGGTTCAAATCTGGTGAAGTTCAAGAGCTTCCGATCCTTCTTCAGCCAATCCGCTGTCCTAGGCGGCATTAATGACTGATCATCCACTGTCGCCGATGGTGGTTCCTTTGATTTGGTGGGAGACCGTCTCAACGTTCTATTTTGCCCAGTATGCCCCGAGCGCGGGGTGGGTTCCTTGGGCTGTCTCCGTGGCGATTTAGAGGGTGAAGAACGGTCTCCGATTTGCACAGAGGTCCTAGGGGAGTTCCAAAATGTCGCTGGAATATCCGGACGACGAGTACCAACTGATAGATCCTTTCGGTATTTCGGGGCCTGCAAATCAGTTTCCAGGACCACCGGCTCGGGAACATTTGTCTGGCGAGCTTTCACTGGTGCGCCAGTACCCCGCGTCCTGTTTTTCTTCCACGGATTCGCCCATCCATTATCAAGCGGGCCTCGGAGCGAAGAGGAGAAAATAAACAGCGGTTTGCCCTGTAGATAAGACTCCGCCAACTTCTCGACCCGCTGACGCTTTGCAGCTCGGGCAGCATCATCCAGCTCGTCATCCGAGGCAACCAAGTCATCTAAATCTATATCAGATGAGGGCGGGCATGTTTCGAGAGAGACCGGGGAGACAGGCCGTGGATAGGGCATCGGGGCGGAGTTTCGAGCTGAGCGGACATTAATTGTTGGGTGGAGAAGCCGCGGCTGTCGGACGCTGCGATGGGAGGGTTTTAGGTGGATGCTTGGAGGCTGTATTCATTTCCAGCACAGACATAGACTGGCCATGTGCGATTGATACCAGGCAGATGCAGCAGAGATGATGGTTCGCGAAACCACTTAACGCGTTTTGATGCCCCAGCAACCTTGAGACCCACGGGTGGGGAAATATTATGTCATCATACCTTATCCCCTAATCCCATAGTAAATTTTGACCGCCTGGCTCACCGCAATTATTTTGCACTCTTTATTTCTATAAAAAAACTACGGAGTACAGATTGACTAGACAAGGCCGTGTGGAGTAAATAAAGAATCATACTGTAGATATACCCAGAAATAAAAGAGAACATAGTCCGCCACTTATACGGCAGTCTTTTCTAGTAGTCTTTGTAGAAATATTCTCAGAGATTAGATCGTATTATCATAAAATATTAAAGCCGATGACCTCATGCAGGGAATGGCATCGTTTTCTCGACGATTTGTATCCTTCCCTCTTCATCAAAATGGTAGAGTGTATAGTTCAACAAATTCCGCGTCCTACCCTGCACATCCATAACTGACGACACACTAAAATCACATGTGCGATGCTGGGCTGGTGGGATATGCCCCGGTTTGGCCAGCAGCTCATATACCTGCGAGACCTTTTCTGGTGTGGTGTCGGGGTTCTCCTCTAGCCCAATAAGAATTGCCACGATATGAGCGGCCGGGGTGCACATGAACAGCCCTTGTGCCGGGGGAGCCTCCCCCATGTACCGTAATGCCTGGCGGCGTAGTTGGGGGAAGGGACATTTGAGCCCTGTTATGAAAAGTGGAAGGAACACGCCCATCTCAAACATGAATGGTGGTTGCTTCCCTTCCGAGCTGCGTGTCCATGCAACCGCGGTGGGGGCCAGGTCAATGATCTGGGCGAATTCAGATTCGTAGGCATCATATACACTTTGATCAGGGTTCAGCATGGCCTCTGCTTCGATGAAGACACTCGTATATGTCATTAGAAGAAGCGCAGTTGCACCGTCGAGGTTCGAGGTATGCATAGGGTTCAAGTCTGTAAAGAGGCGATACCATTGAACGAGTCGGGTTTTCAGGTGCTGTTGTCTGGCCACCAACTCCGATACCTCGTGCAGCCGGCCATCTGCTGTTCGGTGTATATAAGCTTTGGAGTCAATGTTAAGGGCCTTCATCTCGGCTACAATGCTACACAAGACGTTCCTTGCCTCTTCGATGGATTTGAATTGCTCGTCTGGAACAGCCAAATGAAGATCGCAGCTTTCTTCAGGTAGTCCATTGGTGAGGAAGACCCATGTCCCCAAACGGCGAAAGATAGGCTCGAGGGTTGCAATAGTCGAAGTTGCTGTTGACGAAGCACTGAGAACCAGCTGCGCACCATGTTTGTACAGGATCTGAGCAGCTTTGCGGCTTCCCTGTAAAAGCTCAATGGCAATAAAGAGAATGCAGCTGACCAAGGACACCGTCAGGTCCGCTGTGCCCTGATTAATACGTTGCTGTAGAAGAGCCAGCGAGCGCGAGTACCAGACCAGCGCTTCGTGATGGTACTCATGTCGTACCGCGGCGGGATCATTTATAAGCGACCACGGCGACGTCTCATAAATGGGAGGTCGCTCGTAGAGCGCGCTAAGCGAGATGATCGCATCCCAGATAAGTGGCTCTACCCGGCATATTTGGAGGACGGATCCTCTCCAGAAAGCCTGGTCCAGGACTCCTGAAAGTGATGGGCCAGCTTGGTGGAAATAATATTCGAAAGAACGACGCTCTCGAGATCCCTGACTTGAGTAGGGTGTGATGTCTGGCTGGGGTCGCCCGATAATAGTCCTTGCATGACCCCCGCCATAGGCGCACCGCCGTCCTGTACTAGTACATCTCAGGCAGTGTGGTTTCTCCTCTCCACACTTTACGCGGCGAATTCTGCGAATCAAATGTCAAATACGGCTACTAATCGAGTTTCTAGGGGGCAACTGACTTGCATGTATCGCACCCGGTCTTGGACTTGGTGCCCCCGAGGCGCCCAGGGCGCTTGGCAGACGAGCTCATGGCCAAAAGCAGGAGTGGACGATGGCGGTATCGCCTGCTCTATCCTTGTCCGAAATACCTTTTTATTCACGTGACCCCTTGTCACTTTTACCCAATAGTATTCTACCACTTTTGAATACATTAGGCATCCAACTTCAGCAGTTGCGATCATGACGAAATCATAGGGCAGCTATAACTATTCTAATTGCAAGGTTGTCATATATATATCGTGATCTAGCAGTTTACATACTAAGCAACCCTTGAAGAAAGGTAAATCATATTCACACGAAGTATAACTCTGGATAATCAAACACCGCATAGGCAAAGGAAAGAATAATGAAATCTTAGCCTTGACCGAAGTCACTAAGTCGAGGAAAGGAAACTAGAAAAAGTCACACTCCAATTCAACATCACACCACAGCAAGGACATCAGGCGGGGGGTTACAAAAAAAGAACGCTAACAATCGGAGAAACATGAAATGACATGAGCAGGCAATTTGTCTATGACACAGATAATCAAAGTCTCAAAGCAGGGTATCAAAGGCGGTACGCATGTTGCGAGAGAGACGGAGGGAACGGGTGCGGGTTATTGGTGCAGATACACATGCTTCGATGGGAAGAAGGGGTGTTGTTGCCTTGGATTGTTTATTCATGATACACGGGCGCGCGCGAATGCGAAATAGGAGTTGGAGAGATGGGAGCAATATATGGTGGTGGGAATGGTCATTAAGGGGTCATCATCACGGAGTGCTCGGTACGCTCCTTCATTCGCATGGCTTGGGCTTCCAGAGAGCGGGCCATCAGTTTCGTCACTGCGGGTAGGTGTTAGAGAATCGTTTTGGTTTGTGGAAGTTTGGGGATGGCTGAAACTAACCTGGCCAGACAGCAGCTCGTTCCAAAAGACTGGCTGTCGCAATCAATATTTTACATCCGTATCCTCCTTCCACAAGACTGGGTAGCCGTTGCACAGCACTCAGCGCGGACATGGAATTTCCAGTTTGGTACTGGCGCTGCATTTTCATCTCAATACTCCGCAAGATCTCCTTGATCTTGTCCACTAGCTTGCAGTCCTCGTCTTCTAGTAGCATGACTCCAGGTACTTGAGTCAAGTCGACATCGTCGCGGCCAAGGATACCAAGGTAGGGGCCCACCCGTTCTTGAACAGTAGTGATCCACTCCGCGAGCACCTGTGCACAATCGAAAGCACACAACGCGCACTGGATGGGTAGTTCACGCGACGAGAACTCGGCAAAAGTGTTACCAAGACGATCCGACATAGATATAGAATCTGCTGCGTAGAATGCTGCTTTGCGCAGGTGCTTTTCACGCTTAGGTTGGCCCATCTTATATATATTGGAGAGAGCATGCATGGGATCGTCTTGTGTCGGTGTCTTGGAGATGGCTAGATCTGATACTCCTAAATCGGCGATGGAGTCTCGTCTCACGTCAATGTGACCCGTGAGAGACGGATCGACAACGTCGTTCATTGCAGCATCTGAGTGCTGGAAAATCTCAGTACCGCGTGCGAGCTCATCCGCCATGCCATTCCAATCGCGTTGCCAGAACGCCTCTTTGCATCGGCCTAGGTTGACGAATAGACGAACATAGGCCAAATCTAAGAGGGGGATGCTGTCTGCAGACAAAGGTCCAGCCCCGAACGGATTCGGTCGCTCTAGGCTGTGGACAGGGTTGCTGGCCCATGCTGCTTGCCATGCCCGTAGAGCGGGCTCGATGTGGGCTTGCATAGCATCGGTCTCCTGCGGTGTCCATTGTCGGCCCATGTGCCTTTGGCGAGTTTCCCAGATATAGTTGTGTAGTGAGTAGATGAGTACCAGGCAGCCGAAAGTACTTGGGCGGTTTTCAGAATTAGAGAGATCGTCAGAGTTGTGGAACAAGTTCGCCGATTGATTCTGCTCTCGTTGGCTGGCAATCAGAAGAGACGTCAAAGCAGTAGAAAAGGACGAGGTTTTTGTTTGGCCGCCCATCTGCTTCCAGGCCTGGGGTGATTCGGCTGCCCAAAGATCCTCTTCACAGGGAAGATCAAGGCGAATTTCCGAATTTGTGAGTGCCGGTGAATGGTTGTAGGCGGAGACGAGAAAGCTGGAAAGAACAAAGATAGCGTAGAGGGTACGTTTCCGCTCCTCTCCTATCTTCCAATTTAGCCAATCTCGGCGCTCTTTCGGTTGACTAAACGACGAAGACATCCAGTTTTCCGAGTCACCAGCAGAATCATTTCCGTTTTTACCAGCAACAAGATGATCTTGCGGCAGGTTCTTGGGGTCCAGGTGATGTGTCAATTCGGCTGCGCGTGCAAGACTGACCAAAGCAGCACAGTGTGTACTAGCAATGTCTGCGGATGTCTTGTCACCGCAGGTATGGCCGTATATAACGTTTAAGAGCATTGCCTGTACCAACCAAAGCGGGGTGTTGTGTACTGAGCTATCGCGGGAGGAATGTGAACGATTGAGAGCAGCAGACATGTCGGCCTTTCGTCGTTCTTCGAGGTATAACTGAATCATCTTTTTCGCGGCGTCGAAGAGATCCTTGGAGGCGGCAGATTCGTATTCGTACAGAGCACCAATAGCCGCCATGGAGAGGATCAGGCAACCCCCGCCTCCAGCGACGCCGGTCGAGCTGAGATTGAGGTGTCCGCTTGGCGTGCGCAGGTTGTTTGTATACTGAGGAGCTTGGAAATTGAGCGTGGGGATATGGAGAAACGGGATGTGGGGGTGGAAGTAGGTGATGTAGGCCGAAATGTACCGTTGTAAGTCCGAGGTGCTGGGCAGTTGACTGGAGCTGTTGAAGCCAGTCGAACGGGCGAACAACTCGCGACTGTTTAGAAGTCCACTTGCGGGCTGGGAATACTTGCGATGATTGAAGCCAGTGGGGGTCGACATGCTCGCTAATAGAGCCTGTCGTGTGGAGTCTGTAAATGTATCCGTTGAGACTGGTGAATGTTCATTTCGTAGGGCACTATTCGGGAAAGGAACGTTGAGAGGATTAGGAGATTCTCCGTTGGTTGCCATAGAGGGAAACATACTCTGAGAATGTCCTCCCATGACGGGCTGGCCGACCGAGGTCATAGATGGGGGGTAGCGTACGTCTCAGAAAACGGATTCTGGGCCATTAGAGACTTGGGAGACACTGTCTCCGGGGGAACCCCAGATCGTTCAACGTCGTTGGGGAAAAGTCGAGGGCAAATTGGTTGGCCGGGTGGTGTGCAGTGAACGCGTTGTGCCAACCGTTAGAGATAGGAATGCGATTCGGACCATCCAACATGGCCTCGCTGATTCCGCTCTGGCTACCCGTGCTCATTGCGGATGGCGATGACTCGTCAATGACTGAGTCGTTGCCATTTCCCATAACCATGCCTGTGTCAAACCCGTTCATCCAGTCAAAGTGCATATCTTCATCCATCATGGGATCCGCAGTGGTTGGAAGTCCATTGTGATAGTGACCGAACGGAGACGAGGGCGAATCGTTGAAGCCTTGTGGGGATCCTGCAAAGTGTAATTGCGCTGGGTTGATGGTGCTACCGTGGCCCATCAGCATGCCATCGATACCCGTGTCAAAGCTCCCATACACGGGAGCAGTCCGAAGTCCTCCGGACATGTCCATAGGAAGTCCGGAAGTTTCGATCTTCGCGAGGCCGTTCATCGAAGTGTGTCCAGAGCCGAATCCCCTATAGTCCATACTTGAGCCGACCGAAGAACTAAGGCTGGGGTGATATGCGTGAGTCGATTGGGTGGGCGCAGATGACGGATTACCGGCACCGGGGATACCCAATGCCGCCCCCTCAACGTGGCTGATGGTGTTGGCCCTCGGGCGCATCGAAGAAGACGAACTGTTGGCAATGGAATTCTTGCGAACGCGGTTAGCACCGGGTGCGGCGCCCGTACTCTCACGGCGACCGTTTCTCGGTCGGGAAGATGGCGTGGTGGTCATGTGTAGCTTCTGCTGGTGTCGCAGGAGCAGATCGCGCCGAGCGAAGCACCGCGCGCAGTCCGGACACTCGAATGGCTTCTCCTTTGTGTGGGAGCGCTCATGGCGCTTGAGGTGCTCCAATCGCGCAAACGAGCGACCGCAGGTGGTGCAGACGTGGGGCCGAGGCTTATCTGTTTTAGGGGGCGGGATGTTGCCATTGGCACCCATTTGACCGCTCAGGTCGGTCTGCTTCTTTGCGTCCTTTGGAGCTACATATGGTAAGAATTGCACCGAGGGAATTGTCTTTGCGAAACTCACCAGGCATATTTCCCGGAATTTCGTGGATACTGGCAAGGTCCACCACTTTTGGATTATGGTCCTGATCTTGTCCGACCATAGCATCAAATAGCATTCTAGTCTTCAGAAACTCCTCACAGACCAGAGTCTTGCTCACAGGTCTCGGAGGTGGCGAAGTCGTTGCGACTCGGGAAATTGCTAAGAAAGAGAGGTTGCGTCAATCGTATGATTGAACGAAGATCGCGTCTGGCACGATATTTGAACTTTCAAATTTGTACAATGTGCCGCATCAACGACTGTTCCATCCAAATGACATCAAGTCAGCATGTGTCTTGAATGATGCGTAGAGGGTTGCTATCACAACGACCCAAGGTACCGAGGCTATCAGGAACCTTGTCGTGAGATAGATGAAGGGGACCCACCAATATAAGGCGAACAAATTTACAGTCGGTCTATCGAAGGATTCGGCGTGTGTTTGGAGAAGAGGTTGAATGAGATTCGATTAATGCAGGATATGAGGACCTGAGACCGGTATGGGGGGTACGGAGCCTAGTGCTTGACGTCTGTTTGGAATCGGCGACATCAGCGAACTGCACCAACATGAATGATACTCAGCCATCGCACTTCGATCAGATCACTCACATCAGACTGGCGGAGCTAAAGCAGTGACTTGTATATGCTTTTAAACTCGGGGATCCATTGAGCGAATTGATCTCGCAACTTGGAGAGAGTTGGATAAGCCAAAGATAACCGATGGAGTGCAGATAGGCAATTGTCGATAAGCAATGAGAACCCACGACAACACCGGGGAAGCGACGATGATGAAAAGAGACGGATGGCAGGAGAGGTGGAAGTAGTTGGGAAGTTCGAAATTGCCTCCGAAGGTTGAGTATCCAGAGTCGTTCTACAGCAGAGCGAGAGGTACCTGGGCCAGGGTACTTACATACACCGTTGGCAGTGGCAGTAGTGGCGGGTAGAGAGGAACCGGGAAATGCTGGGGGAAGTACTCTGGAGGTACCGGTGATAAGGGGGTCCGAGGACAAAGGTACACCGAGGGTACATACGAGGCAACTACCAACCAGGGCGATGTCAGGCCCAGACAACCGCACAGCAGACGAGTGACGGACGAGTCAGCAGACGGTACCGATACAGAGCGCAGGTGGTGGATCCCCGACACACGGGCTGATCGTCTCTGCCAATGATGCCCCCACGATTAACTAGGGTGATACCGAATGCGGCGTAGACTGAATCTTACGGACACGCACGTTCTACCGGATGTCCACCAGTTCCTGGCTCTGGTTATCAACGAGATTGGTCTCCACGTACTTGCCGTGTTGGGACTAGCGGCGTAACGCCAGACTTGACTAGTATTGTGTTATTTGCGTACGATGTTATTTACCGTTTCATGAAACATGAATTGCATGCTATGGAATGCAATTGACTGATTGAATTAAATAGGAATTCGGAGATTCGGGAATTCGGGGTTTCATCTGAATTGCATCAACTGATGATAACTGCCCAGGTGTGTATATCGTAAAGAATACGCGGCTGCACTAACCAGATTCCTGCCCCGGGTGGATATTGTTTTAATTATTTAATATTATCCTCCTGGAAGTATCGGGGTGGGCCCGAGAGTTACTGAGCATAACAAGCTCATACACGTTTTTATCATAATGGTAATCTATATGTAGTATAGAACTCGTGACCGGTCTATCTGCTTTTATTTTCTTTTATTCCCATTCGCCTCCATTTCCCTCCTTTCCAAGGCTCACTTCGATATAAAAACGAAACAATCCAGAATCCATCCCGAGAGCGGAGTGTCCGGGTATGAATAAGCGGAAAGATCCATGCGCCATTTTTGTGGGGGAGACCAAGTCAAAAAAAAAAAAGGGTTCGTGTGGGGAATTCCCCCAGACATAAAACGGAATATGTACATAACACACACGGCTGTGCTGCAATTGGATGTGCCGACAAGGAATATCCTCCGGTTCCCTATGGCACATGGTCTGGCGTGGCGAAGGGTTGTAATTTGAAGGGAACATTGGATGGGGTCGTTTTGTTTCTTTCCTTTTTTCGGGTCCTTGGCTCCCCCAGACTTTTAATTGGGTTTCCCCGGAATCTGCCCCTCGAGCGTTTTTCTAGAATCTCCATCCCGTAGCTGTAAGGACTCGTCGTCCACGTTACGCCACGCCGTTTTGAGTTTGGGTCGCACGGAACGAGGCGAGCATGGGCACCCTAGCCCATTGGGCGTGCAGCCGACCCCATCGGATCGGTGTCGGATCTGGGGTTATGGTGACGATCCAGTATTTCGGTGCTAACACAGCTTTTGGGTCATTCCAAGGTGGACTTGGATGCAGACAAAGAGGAAAGCGGTCACACAGACACGGCTATGAACGCTTCTTTGTCAACTTTCCTTTGTCTGTTTTTTCCAACCCTCGCCATGTCTGGAATACATTGTAGACTCGCATTTGGTCGCACGGACATCTCCTTTGCAGAATCCCCCGGACTTGACAATGCACTAGTTGCACACTAGAGAGAGTCTAAGGAGGCTGCAGGTGACCCGAGATGAGTCAAAGGGGGGTGGTTGACAAATGAAATGGCAGTGCCGCAAGCCACCCTCCCCAGCTCCGACGCAGTGAGCTGTCTCTAAGCTGTGTTGATGCCGGGGTTGATCCGGACTATCCTAGTGAATGGGAAAGCTGCAACTCAAGGGTCTGGGTTTCCCCTTAAGAACATCGACATACTAAAGGCATCCGACCTATTTCCAATAATCTGCATTCGTCCATCCAAGTATAATGTAATTGCCGTGTTGACCTCGTGAGCAATATATCCGATATGTCCGACAGTGAGCCACGGAGTATATCCGAAAGCCCTATATTGTAGATGAAGGGGCTTGACTCTGGCGAAGACATGTCTCCTCTACTCCTCTAGACATTCAGAGCATCGTACACCACTCAACCCAAACATACTTCACCGGTGTTGGACACAGCTAATACTGGTTACGCAACTCAGCGAAGCCGTTCCCAGATGGCATCTAGCCTAAATAGACGTATTTAACCCCAGGAAACAACTTTGCGCCGATATCCGTCAGTTCCAACCAATCTTCTGATGCAGGTCCTCATTGAGAAAGCCATCGCTTCGTCATGAGCTCATCAGTAACTCAGGGGCAGACGCCACTGGCCCTAATCATGCGATGATACTGCACCTGCACTCTTAGGCACTACACTTGACACTACATATATACTAGCGAACAAGGGCATCCTTGTATGAGCGCTAGCCATACATCGAGCGCCGATTCCACCAAACGTCATTGCATAACCGCGCTTCGCAGATGATCTCTACAGCCATACACTATAGCTATAACACGCAACGCGGTCAATTCAAGACTAGCCTTTTCCACCCGTGTTTTACGCAGTAATATTCATCGAGGCAATAAATTACAGCCGATGAAACATCGGCTCAGGCAATGTCTAGCTATCAAAATGTCCCACTTAAATCCTCCGCCCATCCCTGCGTATCATGGGGGGCCGTAGTGGCCAGTGCTGGCATCAATGCGGGATGGCGGAATCTACACCCCTGATCGGACTTTCAGCCGGGCCTTTTGTTTTTGTTTTTGTCCTTACCGGGTAGCTCATCGGATATGTGACTATGCACCCGGTTGGGTGGTTTATTTCTGTGAAGAATAGTACTCAGTCGATAAGGCGTCATTGGCGCACCTTAACAGTATATCGTAGATTCCTTCCGGATTGACCTCGATTTAACCAGATTAGCCCAAAGAAGAATACGGTGTGCCTTAGTTCGCCTCGTATGTCACTCTGTTTAATTCTCCTGCACAGTGAGGCTCTTGTCTCGGCCCCATGCGTCATTATAGGTCCACAATGAAACCGTTAATACAGACAACCGAACTCGAGAGTCGAATGGCTCGGTTGAATTTACCGGACCTACCACAGTTGTATTCTTCATATGTATCTTGATTTACCAGAACCATAAATAATAATAAAAAGGCACCCAGTCAACCACGCCGCCATTCCAGATCGAGCGGCAAAAAGACGTGGGGTGACAGCACGGATGATCAGCGCCGGAACATCGAGGGGACCGAAGGCGTGAAATAACGGCAATTGGCAAAAATGCATCCCGGCCAGAATTAAGTCAAATGTCGCACACGATCAACTGGCCACATATTTACTCGAAACACGCAATCGCAATCCAGGCAATGATAATTCATAGCAGTGGAGTGGATAGAAGATATGGAGGCTAGTGGAGCTCCCGCGAGCTATGGAGAGACACAATTCTTTACGGAGTAGTATTGTCGATTGATCCGCGCAGTTCTCGGCCATGTGCCTGGATAAAGCAATGGGCCCGGCGATGAACAATTGGCTGATACGGCCTGGACTATTATTCCAGGTATCATTATTATGACACCGTACATTGACGATAACAAACGCCTAGCTATCATTTTGTATATTGGATATTGGACTCCGTACGGAGTATTGACGCTATGTCTCCGAATAGTGGATAGGAGCACGGAGTAGCAATACTACATCGGAAGCAGATCGCAAATAGCTACCTCGCCAGGCGCTCAGGCTCGCGGTCTGACTGGATGGGCCGAGTCCCTGTGGACGATCAAGGTTTAGTGTGGGTATAAGGTCGGATCGGAGAAGCTGCCCATTGTACGGCGTTAGTTGTGTTCGGACCTGCCCAGGAACAGTGCTTTTCATTAAGGAAATGAAGAGCATTTTGTGGCGAGTCCTGGGGTTTATCCAGCGCTAAGATCAAACATGAAGATGTTTATATTTAGTACTTCAGTACGGAGTGTACCCAGTATGATGTACATATATACGTCAAATGCAACATTATGTTATAGACAATAACATCAGTACTCCGTACCTAAACATCATATGGTCTTTCCGTACTGTACATAAATTACCGGCGGAACAAACCGCTCGATTCTCCGATAAGAGAAAAAAGAGGCTGGACCTGACAAATAGTAAAGTGATATCGGAGAGATTATTCGACCGGAGCGACCGACAGCTGGTCGAATGTTAGAATGGGACCGCTAATTTTTAGCGCCTCTTGGCCCAGAGGAACATGTATTAATCCGAATTCCGAGAGCTCGGCGAATGTCAGACATCAGCGAATGTCGGGATTCTTTTAGGGGTTATAATACCCTAGTACAGAAGAAGATAGGATTTAGTGGTAAAGATAATACTGTAAATAATGATCACGGGGTCTTTATGAACGTCTATTATAAGCTATGAAGACATCCTAGTGTAAAGAGAGATCTCGACATTCGCTAAGACCCCTCTGAGCAGATAGATGGTCGAAACGCGGATTAACACGGATTAATATATTTTCCTTCACGCTAAATTAGCGGTCCCATTCTAACATTCGATCAGCTGTAAGCCCCGACCGGAGAACAAGCCGATGTCGCAAAAATGGAGCTATTTTAGTCTTATGTTTCTGCTCTGCTAACGCAAACGCGAGAGAAGTTAGATCTGATGTGATTGGGCTGGATTCGGGCGTGCATTAGCGGTATTTATTGGAGGCACGATGACGAGGGAGAATGGAATGCTCTTTTCCAGATTGGATAGGAGCAGACTTGGCCGGTAGATCAGATCGATTGGATTTCTAGCGTGAGGTACCATACGACTATTAGAGTTACATACCTGAATACATATACAGTACTCCGTACGCACTGCTTCTAGGTATATCACCACAACCGAGGTATACAATATAGACAGTACTACATGTAGTTATATACGCTATAATATACTTCTCACCTGACTCCGATGTCTTGAGCCGAGAAACACAAGCACAACAGTCAAAACCGTCTGACATAAATGCGCGCAACAGTCTCCATTCGAATTCATGCATGTCATACCTAGAGCGTTAATCCACTCCACAGGCTCCATATGTACTTATGTATGCCATGGCATTGCAATATCCATACAATTATCGTCCAATACAGCACCGTCGAGTGGGTCTTTTCGCATTGACAACAAAGAAAACATCCCACATCGCCACAATGCGCAGCCAAGTCGATCTGCCAAACAGCTTCGCAACCTTAGAAGACTACAACATATATTGTGTTCCGTACCACTTTGATTCTATATTCTAAATGTTATCAGTCTAGGTCCATACAAACCCCTCCACATATTAGTACATTAAAGAAAGATATTCAGCTACCGTCGAGAATCATCGAACCGACTGGCCCATTCGTCGCACCCGACTCGGCCCCAGGCCAAGTCAGCGCCGAAAGGCTACGGATATGTACTAGGTCACGTCGCATATCATAGGCTGCATATGTATCTGTCTGTACAGAGTATTTAATGGCGCATTGGCGATCTGGCACGGTCCATCCTGTGACTTTGCACATGTGCAGGTTATCCCTACTAACGTCTTGTACGTTTGATCTGTGTTTTGATTCTTTTGAATGGGCGAGGATAGCGAGTTCACATCTGTGGATAAGTCCGTGGAAGTAGTGTTAGGGGTATTTCCGCTGCATATGCTCTGCTGATGCTTTGCATTGCAGATTGCCCTGTCAAAGGAGGCGGAGTTGCCTGGATCATTCCACTGTCAACTGTCAAGTATCATCCCTGCAGAATGTATATCAACCTCATTGGTAATGCGATATGTCTATTTACTATGCCAGATATAACGACAAAAACTTTTTGTTCACCACCCTGACCATCTGAAGGGAAGGGTCTAACTCCGAGCATAATGATATTGAGGAGCAAAAAATCCACAGAATTCGAATGGTATATGAGCAAGACATGGCACATGAAATTCCCGAGTTAGTCGGAGCGTAGATACATTTTCTTCGTCTAGACACTGATCGTCTTGAAAACACTATAAAAAGGATCTGGTTAGCTTGGCTCAACCTCATTATAACGAATATAACATACCTAAATCCACTGCTGCCGGTCGCCATGAGCGTACCGGGCATCTGTGCCTGCCAGTGGAGTTCCTTGACAGACTCCATATAGTGCACGAACAGCAGTTGCGAAGGAATGTCCACCATGTTGGCCTGGCGGCTTTCTTCGTCGTCCAGCTCGACAGCAAGATCCCAAAGTGTGACAGTGTTGTCTGCCGAGCCAACGGCCACCACACTGTCGTCTGAGGGGTGCCATTCGATAGTGGTGATCGGCTCCTTGTGGAAGTCGAATGATGCAACGGGGGTAGAGGTGATCTGGGCAGAAGGCGCCGCGGCATTGGGCTTCCAGTGACGCAAATCCCAGACTGCCCACTGTCCATCGTCGGCTCCAGTGGCCAAAAGGTGAGCTGTCTGGTTAGACCAGCTCATAACGTTCACGTCGGTTTTGGAGACCTGGACGTCCACGGCGGGCTTGCGCGACTTGGATCGCACATCCCAAACCTTAACGCTACCGTCACTGCTAGCGGATGCAAACACGTTGCGCTCGTTAGGAGACCACTGCAATTCCTCAATTGAGGAAGCATGGCCTGTGAACGGCCGGGTGTCGGTAACCCAGCCGCCACCTTCCGTGCGAGTGGTGGCATAGATCAATCCGTTATTGTCACCGGTCAACAGCTTTCCAAGAGGCTGGAGCGGAGACCAATCCAATGCATATCCTTCAGTCTTGTGCATGCGCAGGGTGGAAAGAGGCTTAGATGCCGAAGGGGGAAGAATAGTGCCGGGAACATCGAAGCTAGAAAGGTGGGCGGTAACATCGTGAATGACGACTTGCGAGTTCTCGAGCCAGGTCGCGGTAAGGGTCTGCGGGGGCTTGGAGTAATCACCGGACTGGGAGGGGGTCTGGTGGGTACGAATGCGGTTCGTCGTTGAGCCAAGCGGGATCGACTTGCTCTCCAGAATGGGCTCGCCCATGTCGTCGTCGTCCGAGTCGCTGTCTGAATCCTCGCCTCCCCTCTCCATCTTGCTCAGTCCGCTCATCTTGAGCACCATGAGTTCATTTTCCTTGGATTTCGAGCCCTCGGCTTGTGTACCAGTAACAGCGTAGACAGTAGCGGGGTAGGTCTTGCGGTTATCACCGAGTGAATCGCGCACAATATCGAAGGAAAGGCATGGCCATGGTGTGCTGAGTGTGTGGAGCATATCATAAGTGGAGGGATCGGGCGATAGTGTCTCTCCGGGAGCCAATTTTGTTCGTCCAGGAATGAAAGTCTCCTTGTCGACATCCATAGCTTCTATAAGATTCAAATAAGGTTAGTTCAGTTGAACAGGTTAGAGATCGAAGAATGCGCACCCTTCTCTTCCTCCTCGCGTTCAGCATCTGGGCGACCATCCACTCCGGCCTCTAGGATCTCATCTTCACTCTCAAACTCATCCTCGTACTCGTCTTCGAACTCCCCCGCCTCGTCCATTGGGGCATCTGCAATTGGCCGCTCGCCAGCCTTGAGGGCGGCGGTATGCTCGTCTGCTTCAGCGCTTCTCTTGGACATCTTGAACCCGTGAAAAGTGTTAATTATAAGGGTGTCGAGACCGAGGAGGGGGATGTGCGATAAGAACTTTTTTTTTCCCGTAAATTTTGGCAACAGCGTGGGAGCGGCGCTAAACCTATCGTGGCCTAGCGTAAGATCCCAGTTGCCCACCCTCGAGCTGAAGGTACACCAGAGAGAGCCTTGACGTTCTTATTTAGTGCCTAGGCCCCGCTGTTTCGAAGGAGTCAAATATTTGACGTTCATTTCCAGCCTGGTTCCTGCGTTTGTTTGCTTTGACTCCCATTTTCGTCACCCCTCCCAATTCGGTCTGTTTACTCAGGGACAACCCTTGTCCGCTGACCCCCCCGAGAACCAACACAGCTCGGCTTCTTCAATTTTCTTAAAACCAATCCCCTGAGGCAGTACACATGCAATCTCGTTAGATTGCGCTGGAATTTCAGCCCGTTGTGATATTGGTTAGTCCCCTCTTGAGCTTCTTCACCCCGCGCGTATATGCTGACAGTCAGAACTTGTTGGCAGGTTGCTTCTCTGAATTCTACACCGAAACCGATCTTGAAACGTCATGGAGCCTAATTTGGACCCTCTTGGTGCTCCTGGGGTGGATGCGCCCGCTGTTCCTGTCGTTGCGGAATCCGAGCAGATTGCTCCGGAGGATCAGACAGAACAGGCGCAGGGCCAGGAGCTTGCGCCCGAACAGCCCCTTGAACAACCTTTAGACCAACCTCTGGAACAGCCTGCGCCTGTCTCGGCCAATACCGAAGAGCCGGCTTCCGACCACACCATCAGCCGTGCGGCCATCAACAATGGCTATAACAGCGATTCGAAGGCGCATTACCACTCCCGATCGACCGACTTTCATCAATCTGCTCCCGAATACGCTGCCCAAGATACCGATCAGTCCCGCCAGGGCTCATCTCCATTGCTCAGCCACCACCCTCTACCTGTTCCCAACTCCAGGCCGGGATCTGGACTCTCCAGTGGTCCAGAACGGGCCCCTGTTTCCCAGCTCCAGCAGCAAGACGCCGGTCAGCGCCAAGCGTCTCAGGCTAACAAGAACAGTGTGGTGATTAAGGTTGGTATGGTAGGCGATGCGCAGATCGGAAAGACTAGTTTGATGGTCAAGTACGTCGAGGGCAGCTGGGACGAGGATTACATCCAGACATTGGGTAAGTTGAATTTCTATTCTACAGCAGATCTGATTTACTAACTAAGGACTTGTCAAGGTGTCAACTTTATGGAAAAGACAATCTCAATTCGGAACACTGAAATCACCTTCTCGATTTGGGATCTTGGTGGCCAGCGCGAGTTCGTTAATATGCTACCGCTTGTCTGCAATGACGCTGTTGCAATTCTTTTCATGTTTGATCTCACTCGCAAGAGTACATTGAACTCGATTAAGGAGTGGTATCGCCAGGGACGTGGCTTCAATAAGACAGCTATCCCCTTCCTGGTGGGCACCAAGTATGATCACTTTGTGAACTTTCCCCGTGAGGACCAGGAGGAGATCTCTATCCAGGTACTTGTGATCCTCGTCTATTTTCCCGCAGCAACTAACATATTTGCAGGCCAAGCGATTTGCCAAGGCTATGAAGGCTAGTCTGATATTTAGCAGCACCAGCCATAGCATCAATGTGCAAAAGGTACGTTGCAGCCGTTCATACACTGTTGCTCGGTTTATTCCAAGTCTGATAGAACACATACTGACCCTCTGCAGATCTTCAAGATCGTTCTAGCCAAGGCATTCGATCTAAAGTGTACCATTCCGGAGATCGAGAATGTTGGCGAGCCCCTGCTCCTCTACAAGAATGTCTAAGTTTGCCCTGACGATGATGTACATTGGGACGAAGTGACGCTGCTGATGATCGACGCTGGCCCTCTACCCCCACGGCTTTACCACTTTGTGAATTTCCCTTTCTTTTCTCCAACGATGTACGTGACTTTCCTTATGTCTGTATCACGGCCTCGGGTTCTTCTGACGGGTTGCATGCTGTCAATTGGAGATCTCGAGGCTTCTTATTCTTTAACTGCTACCCTTCTCCTTGTCATTTTCTTTGCTTCATCTTCTTCCTTCATCCATCTGCACGTACCTAGTTTCCTTATTTTTTTGAGGGCTTCACCGGTTCAAGGCGTTTGGGACCCCGAATCATGATATTCTGGAAATAAATTCAAACATCTTCTGCTTGCAACTTACAATTCATCGGGTTTTTACTGTGTATATTGTAGATCCGTACCTCGAATTTCCAAATATAGATCTGGACCCATGGATAGGCCCCAGGGCTGACCCCTCTTTAGTTGAGCCTCCTGTTGTTTAATTCTTTTCTTTCTTATATATTATCTTTCGCCGTCTTTCTCTCGGGGACTCTAGTTGAATCAAATTATCTGAGGTTATACAAAGAAAGGTCATCTGCACAAATTAAACCTTTTCCCGCCTTTTCCCGCCGTCTACCTAGAACTTAAGAAGCGGGAGAAGATACGGTCTTAGATACATAAAAGAGACATCTAAAAATACAATCCAAGAAGCCCATGAAAAAAACCATTGAAAAGACTACAAAATGACATGACAAGCCGCATAACCGGCCTACTATCCTTGTCACCAATAATTCACAGTTGTGTTTCAGAGTCCGACAAGGCTACTTTCGCCCCCGCCAAGCCAAGAACGAGGTACCTAAGCTCGAGCGGACGTCTCAACTTTCTCTTCAATATCGTTATGCTCAGGCACCATGGCCGAAGATCCTCAGTTGAATTCTATCCAGCAACGGATCGCCGCCCTTAACCAGTCGCAACTGGCCCGCGCACCGGGAGGACCTGGACCATCATTCCGCCCGACCGAACGGAGCGCGTCCGTCAACAACCCTCCCTCATACGATGCAGTCGGCTCTGTCGTGGATCGAACATCTGTCGGAAATGAACCCGCAGATAACAGAACTCAGAGGCCGGTCCTGCGACCGCCTCCAATGGAAACTCTCCGGCCTCAAGTGAAACCAAAGCCAAAAGCCCCCCCACCATTGCCCACGCAAAGGTCAGATCGCCTGCCTCCCCCTACACCAGCCCGTCCTCCGCTGCCACCGCGTAGGCCAACGGACCAAAAGCGCCGGCCATCCCTTGAGTCAGCCACTTCCGATGCGTCACATTCGACAACGTCGACAGCTACAACTACAACTACGGGGCGAGGCACATCGACAACCTCGGTGAACTCTACTGGGAACAATCGCATCAAGGCGCCCGCATGGGGCGAGACAGAGCTGCCTGCATTGCCTGCCCGCAGACCAAAGGAGCAAGTTAGCTTGGAACCGGCCCCGCGGCCTACGATTAGTAGTAAGAGGAGCTTTGGGAGCCTGTCTGCTCGACTGACCTCCAAAATATCGCTACCGGGGTCCAAACCGCCTGTTCCCTCTATTCCAAGTCAGCCTGCACGGCCGAGTCAACCTCCCCGTCCTACTTCTTCTCCACATCCTAGCCAGTCACCTCCACGATATGAGGATGAGGAACCCCCGGTGCCTCGACTGCCATCACGTCGGCCATCCGCGGTACCCGCAGACACAAATGGAACTGGTGATGACTCAAGTGTCAATATACCTATCCGGAAGACATTGCCTCCTCCACCAATGCCTGCGCAAAGGAAGGATCCTAGGCAGTTCGGGTTTAATAATCCCAAATCCAGCACAACTACCCCCAACGGAACACCACCACCGATTCCACATGGCTCTCGTCCGGATTTATCCAAAATTATGGCTTCAAAGCCACGTTTGAATGGTTCGGCTGTGTCTCCAAGCCCGCCACCTCCCACCTCAGACACCGAATGCATGGTATGCCGGGACTTCTCAGGTCCTGATAACCATGCAGCCCGGTATCCTCGTGCATCGCTTCCCACGCAGGATATGACGTGGCTGGCCAATGAGTTGACAGCACCGTTCCCATCCATGACAGACAAGGCACGCGCGATATTTACCTGGTTGCATCATAACATTGCTTACGATACCTATGCCTTCTTTAACAATTGCGTGAAGTCCTCCACGCCAGCCAGTACCCTCGCATCTGGACTGGCAGTCTGCGAAGGCTACGCAGGACTATTTGCAGCATTAGCCACCCACGCCGGCCTAGAGGCAATCGTAGTCGGCGGTCACGGCAAAGGCTTCGGACACAACGCACTTGCTCCAGGGGCCCCGGTGCCACCATTCGAAGGCAACCACGCTTGGAACGCCGTCAAAATCGATGGAGGCCGATGGAAACTAATCGACTCCTGCTGGGGCGCAGGAGCAATAGATGGCGCCGGACAGCCATACAAGCAACGATTCGAACCGTCGATGTTCACAATGCCGAACGAAGAGTTCGGCCTAAAACACTTCCCATCAAACAAACGCCAGTTTTTCCGCGAGGACGGACGCCCCGATATAACCTGGGAAGAGTATATTCTCACAGACCCGGAACGACCAAACGGCGTCCAAGCCCTACAGGTCTACAGCGACGCCGACAAGCGCACCATCGGCCGCAAGACCTTCCACCCACAAGGCATGCACATCTCCGTCAGCACGCCTGGCGCAATGCGCTTCCAGTTCGGTCTCCTCTGTCCGCATTGGACACTCGCTCGCCACAGCCACATCCAGCATGCGGGCTTGTTCCTGCTTATGATTCATGGCGTGGACGAACGCGAGGACGACAAACTCCCTTTTACGCATGTACCAGGCTCCGGACCCGCGGGCGGTGGCGAGTTCTGGTATGTGGATGTTCCCAGTGCGCGTATGCTCGGTGCGCCTGGTCAGAAGCTGCAGTTGGCTGTGTTGACTAGCTTTGGGGATCGGAAGGATGCTAGTGGTGTTACGGCGCAGGAGTTTCAGGAGAAGGTTGGCCGTGTTGGTATGGGTTGGGCTTATGTTGCTGAGTGGGAGCTGGTTAGGTAGATTTCTCGTCCTTGGCGGGTGCTTTAATATTAATATAAAATTTGTCTTTTGGATCTCTGCTGTACAAACGGTGTTTGGTGTTGAATAAACAAATGAAAAGTTTCATTCATCATGAGATTGGAAAGGAAGACATCATGCTCTCAAATTTTTGGATGTTGCTTTCACTTTTCTCCATGTCATCCTCTAGCTCGAATCAAGGGACAGCTTGTTACTCTAGTCTAGGCATATGACTCAAATCTACGAATCTCGGCTATGGAGATTTACACCCCTCATGTATTCCGTGGGACTCGTCAAGTGGCAATGAGAGCCACGACTTCAGGAACGTCCACGAGAAAGCCCAGTTTGATGTTTGATGCAGACCTACATGGACCTCATACATATTGTAATGTCATGGTCCCTGTGGTAGGTGAAGCAGCATGTGCTACGGCACCCTCTGCCGACGCTGTCTCATGGGGCTACGGAGAGATGGTGGTTGAGAGAGGTGTGGAGGAGAGAAGAAAAGAAGAAGAAGAGTTGGGGGAAGGGGGCCCTTTTATACCCCCAACCCACGTGCCTTCCCAAAGTGCCCCGTTGCCTGAAAGTGACGGGCAAACAAAGGTTACCTAGATAAAGGCTTATATAATGGCATAAATAGCACCCCTTCAGCTTCCAAACTCAGTACTTGCCAACTTCTTCAAACATCTTGAGGCCCGATCAACAATCATGCCTTCCTTGATGGATCTCCCCCAGGAGATCCGTGCCATGATCTTCGAAGAGGTAATCAACGGCCATCGAATCCCACCCAAATACCCATCCGAATCGAACATGTTGCGTGCTTCGGACGTACCTCGCACATTGCCTATGGAGTTATATCACGAGAAGCGTGATACACACAGCCTATCGAACTGTCTCTCTCTGCTCCTGACAAATCGTCAAGTCTCGGTGGAAACCCAATCGGTCCTCAATCGAATGAAGAAAACCACCTACATTCTTGACCTTTCGGTTCTAAATGAAATGCATATGTTTTCAACCTGGATTTCAGTCCCACGGCTTACGACCCGTCTCTCTACGCTGCACATAGACATGCGCTTCTTTGGACGCATCGTCACCAGTAAAGAGGCGCTTTATTCTGGAAGCACTACCTTCTCTCTCAATCACTGTTTTTACCGCTACTTGGACCGATTCTTGACATATGGACCAGTGGGTAGGAAAGATGGCCGTGAAGACTCCTATGAGGATGAGGACCGTGGAATCATCGTTGAAAACCTCGTCCTCGACTTTCACTCAGCGGAGACGGAACTACCATTTCCCCCTGGTCACATGAGTTATGAAGATTGGGAGGCCAAGCGTTGTGGCAACCCCAGGTGTGACGATGAACAGATGGATGAGGTTCTGAAGTACAAAACACGTCCACAGTGGCCTTTGTCTGCAATGAGACTTTGGTTGGCATTTATAACTAAAATGGGCTACGGAGTTGAAGATTATGGGTCAATTTTATATGAGAGTATTGGTACCATCTCCCTGCTTCTGAATGGACGGTTGGAGACTGCTTTTGATCTTGCGGATCAATTGGCAGAGGTCCCCAATGAGATGTACGATCGGTATTCGAACTTTAATGTTCCTAAGTTTCAGAAGTGGAGAGAAAGGACGCTTTCAAGAAGAGAAGCGGTCGGACTTCGTACTGTGCAGCCACGGGACCTCTGGTCTAGGTAAGGGAAGAGCAGTTGATGTCTCTAGCGTCGATGGGAGATACTTTAATGATGATGCAAATGCGATACTCTTCCTGTGGTGATCTAGATGAATGCATACATACATACGTATGTACCTACCCAGGTAGTCTTGTTAACGTGATATCACAACTTGGCCGAGAAAAAGGTAGGGAAAGTGACCTGGTCTGTACCTGAAGAGCTCATCGACATATCCTTCACGTCCTTCACTCGTAACTCAAGTCTGCTAAGCCATTCGACTCGTAAATACAGAAAGCCCGAAATAGTCGTGGGGATTGCTCAATATGATCAAAGTTTCAGCAGGCAAAGAAGATAAGGAAGGTCGATCACATATGGATCATATCAGCAAGTACTACATGCAGCTAGCTGTCTAGATCAGACAGAAAAGGGCCTTCCAATGTGACGACTGAATTCTCTTTCTCGCTATTATAGGGAGATACATATATGCATGAAAGCGCAATCTCGGTTGGGTCCTGGACCCTGGTTTCGCTGAGCGGAGTTGACCCGCTCGTTTAGGGCATTGTACCAGCGAGTACACCATCATCTGTGACCTTCGGTTTAGTGTATCATAGGCAAGAGATCTAAGATACGTCAACGAGTGCAATACAACTCACCGACTGTTCCTCATTCTGGTGGTATTCTAGTGATGTCATCGTGATGTCTAGAACTATATATAGAGAGTCACTCAATCTTGAGTGGATATGAGTGTACATATATATATTCCTACAGAAATACCATGATCATGAACTTCCGCTAAATTCAGTTGGCAATTTATCGATCTACATCTTTGTAAGACGGCTTGATAGAAGATATATTGCATCGGCGTTTTCGTTGATTCCCCGGTTCTATGTGTGCCAAGCATAGTTCCATGTCGATCGGCCCAATAAGGCTGAAAGAGGGGGTTGCCAATCGGCTCGCCTCATTTGGACTGACATAACCTGGTTTGAAACAGCTTAACTGCATGTAGTTAGAGCTTCGAAGGTTCGTCCGGATGATCCTAACTTTGGAAGGAACCCCTAAATTACAACCATAGAGAAGTGGCGACATACAACAGAAATGTCACATATGTTGTACCGTAAGCCTGTCAGATTTCGGCTTTCCCTTTCTGTCTTAGTACTCACCCCTTAATTAGCCAGAGACAGCACGCGTGCTATTCGCTTTGGCCCCTACAACTAACATACGTGTTCGATTGTACGGAGCATCTATTCTGTCTAGACCCTGCTAAGCGAAATAAGACCAAGACATGTAATCTCCTCACTACCAATCAACAATAATTGCATGTAACTTAATTAGACCTAGGATATTTCCCAGTTGAAAATGAGGTCGAGATTACAAGTGCAGTCGATAGTGTTTGCTGCCTTTGTTCTATTTGCACTGTTTGCTCTACCCCTTGCCTATCCCGGTAATTCCGCACGTGGTCACATTTGCGCCAAGAACCGTCAGGAACTTGAAGAGCCCGGGCGTTGCTCCGTAAAGTGCATGAACCCGTTGTGCCCCGCCCTATGGTTGGACCCCTGGATTTTCAGTTTCCAGTTTTTTTTTAACTTGTCTCTCTCTCTTCCTTGTCGGCTTATGTATCCGTCCTCAATTTCTAGCCTGTCTTCCCTTCGGAGGGTGCTGTTGTTGGCATGAAATCTTCATTGAATCGTCCCGGAGATCTCTCCCAGCTCCGTCGGCAACTCGAGGATTCGGCCATCTTCGCCCTCAAAGTGGCCAGATCCCCCCAGGTCTACCTGGACGCTTCACGCACATATTTCTTCTCAATTACTTTCATCTCCCTCATCCTGTCAAAATGCTTCCATCTCTGCGTCCATCTCACGTCGCTCGCGGTTCCATCACTCATTCCGTGGGGCCCCACTTTCTTCCTGGTGGACATCCTGCTCATTCTGGTCGCGTGCTACCTGACCCGTTCGTTTGAATCGCGGGTCTGGCAGAACGTAGCTGCAATTGTAACTCTTTTATTCAGGTAAGCTGTCGTCTGGGACTCGTAAGAAACAATCAATTGCTAATCGCATCTCAGTCTATATATCTCCTCCGTAACCTCCGCCAACATCTCCTTCTATGTACATACAGGTGCGGAGATTCACTGGGGGAAGTCGGAAAGTTCTCATGAGGACAATTCCAATACTGCTACCCAGACTGTTCTGTCCATGTTGACTGTCGGTGTCTTCGTCGACACGTTGATTATGATCGTTGCGTACTTCGCTACGCCGTATCTATTCCAAGCCACCGAAACTTTCCTGGAGATTTGGGGTTCATTTTCGCTATTCCCTTTCCGCCGGTGTCTTCCACGAAAGCCATTGTCCGATCCAGAGACCTATCAGCAGATTGAAATCGATGACTATGATGAGGGTCACAACGACAGCGACTCCGTATCACAATTGGATACACCTCGTCAACCCGAGCAGAAGCCGACGCGGTCGTTGCTGAAGCGCGTGATCGTCATATCGTGCGGCTTAATCCTAGTTCTCCTCAGTTGCATTCGTCCACGCGGTGCGGATTACGGCTATCTCTCTGGCTCCCTGTCTCTTGCGCCGTTCAGCAGCCACAGATATTCGCCCGCTCATGAAACTCCAACGCCAGCGAATGGAAGTGCCCCTCCTGCAATTGCCCCTCCTACAAGTACCCCAGAAAATACCCCAGAAAGTACCCCAGGAAAGGCTCCAGAAAAAGTCCCAGCAAGTGTTCCAGAAAGCGCCCCTAAAATTCCTGCTAATGGAAATGCCACCTATGAAAATGTCACCTTGTTACCGGCCGATTTCAGCTGGCTGGAGGGCCACACTGCTCTGGACTCCTTCCCCACATTTGACTGGTTACCTTCATACAATTCGTCAGATGGCTTCCCGGATTGGTCTCCCTTCCGTATCAATAAGCACAACAAGGCCGACTATGTGTATGAACACTACAATCCGTTGAAGGATCCTCTGCACACGTCAAACCTCCAGAACGATATTTTGGAGCCTATACGTGAACTTCTCCACAACGGAAGTGTGAAGATTAAGCATGTCATTCTCATTAAGCTAGAGAGCACTCGACAGGATGTGTGGCCCTTCCGCTCAAACTCTTACATCATGAAGCACGTCAATGAATCTTACCCAGACGGCATCCCCAAGGACGTCCAGGATAGGCTCACTAAGCTCACTCCTACCGCCGAGCGCTTAACCGGGTTTGGGACCGGGTTCCATAAGGACGGGGATGATCATCCGAAGCCGTATGGTGGCATCAGTGCAAGCAACGCTTACACTTCCGGGACCTATACTCTGAAGAGTATTACGGGCACTGTGTGCGGAGTGAATCCCATGGCTGTTGAGGCCAACCTCGAGTACCTGCACGATATTTACCAGCCTTGCTTGCCGCACATACTCGATGCGATAAACCACCAGCCAAACACCACTGGTGAGACAGATGACTGGACTTCTTGGCCGTGGCATACTATGTGGATGCAGTCACACCCTGACGACTGGGATAAGCACTATATGCTTCATCCTGCTCTAGGGTACAAGGATATCATGGCAAAGCGAACAATCGACGCAGGTGGTCGTAAATATATCCCAGAAGAAACAGCAGAGGAAGAGGAACATGGCCATGAGGATAAGCTATTGAAAAATTATCTCCGGGATGTCATCGACGATGCCAAGAAGAACAACACCCGCCTCTTTCTCAGCCATCTAACACATAATACACATACTCCGTATTATATCCCTGGTGGTTATAAGGAGATGCTGGGGGATGTGTCGACTGAACAGAACGAGAGATTGAACCGATACCTGAATACTATAGCCTACCAGGATGAGTGGGTGGCCGAGATCCTGAAGCTTCTTGATGATGCCGGCATTGCCGATGAGACCCTTCTAGTGATGACTGGTGACCAGTAAGTTCTACCTATAACTCGCAGTCCATTCAGCTTCTGACTTAATTTAGCGGTCTATCACTTCCAAATGACGGTGGTATCACCGCCTGGCATTCCCCTCACGTCGGCAATTTCCACGTGCCGCTATTCTTCTCTCACCCTAAGCTGCCCCAGATCGAAGTCAAAACTGCTGTCCTCTCTACCCAAATTCTCCCCACGATTCTGGATCTTCTCGTCGAAACCTCCTCTATTGATAAGCAGTCGAATAAGATCATCAAAGATCTACTCCCGATGTACGAGGGCCAGTCGATGATACGCGCACTTATCCCCGAGCACAATGGCAAGCAAGAATGGCATTTCTCCACAATGAACCCTGGTGGAACGTGGTTCACCATGCGAGCGGCCGCACAGCCGTACCGTTTGGTCGTGCCCCTCAAACCCGAAGCTAAGTGGCGATTTACCGATGTCATCGCCGACCCATTCGAGCTCAAACCCCAGGAAGATCACCAACTCCTGTTTTTGGTCGACGCCGTGCGGAAGCAGCATGGACCTGAGGCTGTGAAGTGGCTCAGCGAGGCGGCTCATGTGGCCAAGTGGTGGGTTTCGGAGAATCACCGCCGTTGGAAATATGATCCTCAGAACCCAGAGAACAATTGAAGTTATATGGATCAGCGTACTCTCTGATCGCAACGTCTGTCGAGGTTGAGAGCCCCTGTGTTCCTCTGTATAGGAGCTGGTGATGTTGATCGAAGTCGGGTTCGTGTCTATAATGAGGTCCCGAGTGATGCACTGTATATTAATTGTCGGGTGTTGAGAGCGGGGAAATTTTTTCCAGAAATGGTTTTGTATTTTGTCAAATGATCTACCACAAGCAGTTATCTTTGTGTATTTCCAATGCGATGTTGTTCTTACCCTCAACGAGACTCGATTTCAGGTGAAGTAGCATGCGATATCACCAACTCTGGCGCGGACCTAGTGGTAGAAGTCATTCTGGCAAGGTTAAAAGGTGTGATGCCAGTCAATATAGCTAGCGTATGTTGGACATGGCCGTTCTTGGATGAGACTTTAACTAGATTACCATGGCCCGTGCAATATCAAGGGGGAAGAAAGGCAACGGCCTGCACCATTGATGTCAGTGGCTTGAAAATCAGAGCAAAAGCCAGAACATATGAGAGATCATCCACGCTAGTCTTGGTGAGCGCAATTAGGATTTCGGATTCCCCCAGCCCTCCGCATCTTTCCACGCGGGGAACATCACATAAGATATACGAATGGATTTAAGGATTTAGATGATCATCTACGTAACAACGTGGGAATTCATAATCCATTCCAATAGCAAGTGACAATACCAGGTAGTCCGAAGTCCTGACCACAATCTAACTTCGAGCAGCGGGCAAACTAGGCACAACAATTAACAAAATCAGTCCAGAAAAGGAAAAAAACCACCGCAGGCCGAGTTCAAGCCGACTCCACCTCGGCGAGCGGCAGCCACTGAAGTTAACGAGAAGCCGCGTATTGTCCCATTCTGGAAAAATGGCCGTAGACGGGGCCCCGGACTATGATGGTGAAGCGTCACCGGTTGAAGTGATGTTCTTCTCATTCGTTTCTTACGTAGCTATGTGGGCACTCCGGCTAAATTGCGAAGAAAATACAGTAAGATTACCAAGCACGTGTACGGTGTTGACCTGTTTCTTGACAGGGAAATGCGGGTTGGGTCTGGGGATATCGGAAAATCGTACACCCTGTTTTGGGATGAACCTACACTCTTAAAGAACCTCATTTCCAGAAGAGTGTCTTTATTTTTATATTCTAGTAGTAAGTAAGTACTGCCAGAAACGCCACTGCCGTCCAAGGGGAATCAGCCGACTCTTTTCTCGCCCGAACACGGCTTCCGGATTCGGGGAACTTCGCAATTACCGCGCTTGGCCTTCTTCGGCTTAGGAATTTTGTGAGCTCGTGGCCCGATTCCCCGGATCCCAGTCTTTGCCGGGGTAGTCCACCAATCATCGGGGAGCGGGTGGATAAGCATAATCTGGCTTCCGCCAATCAGAGCGCGTTCTGGTAGCTGGGGTTGCAAGCGGAGTCTTGGCATAGTCTTGTTGTAACTCTCCCTTTTTATTGTTATTATTATCTACAGATGATCACATGTTTTACACTAATCCTTCTCTGTGGACGATCCATACACGGGATAGGGAGTGGGGATGCTGGAAGAAAACAGAACGAAAACAATGCCTATATGCGGGTGGATTTGACTAGTCATGTATTTCTTACTGTAGAGCATTTTGCCGGCATGCGATCTATTTAAGCAGGGAGGCTTTTCCCCGTTCCTTTTTCGGTTTCTTGTAGTTTCTCTCTTCTTTTGCCATCATTCTCCCCTGGCTTGGGTCTAACAGTTACCATGTTTGTCGTGGGGAATCTCTACGCCATCACGGCGGTGTCCGTCATTGGCGGTGCACTGTTCGGTTTCGATATCTCGTCCATGTCGGCCATTATCGGGACGCCGGCTTATAAGTGTTATTTCAATCATGGTCCTCGGGGCCCTCCATTCAACGACGACGATGTATGTAGTGGTCTTAGCACCCTGGCTCAGGGTGGTGTTACCGCTGCCATGCCCGGTGGTTCTTGGCTCGGTGCTCTTATCTCTGGTTTCATTTCGGATCGTCTTGGTCGGAAGTATGCTATTATGGTTGGTTGTGTTCTTTGGTAAGTGGTCATGGTTAGGGTGGAGTTGATATTGAACAGTTGTGGTTAACATTCTGTTAGGGTTATCGGCTCCGTCATTGTGTGCGCTTCCCAGAACATGGGTATGCTCATTGCCGGACGAGTCATCAACGGTCTCAGTGTCGGAATTGAGTCCGCTCAGGTTCCTGTATATATCTCGGAGCTTTCTCCTCCCTCCAAGCGTGGTCGTCTCGTCGGCTCTCAGCAGTGGGCCATCACCTGGGGTATTCTGATCATGTACTAGTATGTGGTAACACCTGGTTTGAGATTCGAAAAGTGACTCAGTAGCTGACTCTTGTTCCACAGTATCTCCTTCGGTTGCTCGTTCATCGGACATGGCAACAGCTCCACCTCCCACAACTACAGCGAGTCCGTCTTCCGTATCCCCTGGGGTGTACAGGCAGTTCCCGCTGTACTCCTCTTCTTCGGAATGATGGTCCTGCCCGAGTCCCCTCGTTGGTTGGCCCGCAAGGACCGCTGGGACGAGTGCCAGGCGGTGCTGACCCTAGTCCACGGCAAGGGCGACATGAACAGCCCCTTTGTTCTAGCCGAGATGCAAGAGATCCGCGACATTTGTGAGTTCGAGCGCGAGAACAAGGACGTCAGCTACCTTGAGTTGTTCAAGCCCAGGATGATCCACCGCACCATGACCGGAATCTGGGCGCAAATCTGGTCCCAGCTGACCGGTATGAACGTCATGATGTACTACATCACGTATGTCTTCACCATGGCCGGATACAAGGGCGATGCCACCCTCCTCGCTTCCTCCATCCAGTACATCATCAACGTGGTCATGACCATGCCCGCCCTGATCTGGGTTGACCGCTGGGGCCGTCGTCCTACTCTCCTGATTGGCGCTATTTTCATGATGATCTGGATGTTCGCCAACGCGGGTATCATGGCCAAGTACGGCGTGATTGTGCCCGGTGGTATCGACGGTGTGGCCGAGGCATCAATGCTTCTGAGTGGCGCCCCTGCCAAGGGACTGATTGCCTGCACATACCTGTTCGTGGCTTCGTACGCCCCAACCTGGGGTCCCGTGTCGTGGGTGTACCCTTCAGAGTTATACCCTCTGCGCGTGCGTGGTAAGGCCGTTGCTTTGGCTACCTCGTTCAACTGGGCGTTCAACACGGCGCTTGGTCTGTTCGTGCCCACTGCTTTTGCCACGATCCGCTGGCAGACGTACATCATTTTCGGTGTTTTCTTGTTCGCCATGACCATTCACGTCTTCTTCTTGTTCCCTGAGACTTCTGGTAAGACTCTAGAGGAAATCGAGCAGATCTTTGAGGATCCCAACGGTATCCCTTATATCGGTACCCCGGCCTGGAAGACTACCCACGATACCAAGCGCACTATGGCTGCCGAGTCGGGTGATATTGAGATCCTTGGCGAAAAACTGGCTGGTGCTGACAAGCGCGCTGCCACTCACACTGAGGTTGTCGACGCATAGAAGTTGAGCGTGTATAGACGAGGTTGTTAGATGGCTCCGCTGTATTATTGTTTTGCTTCTCTTTCGGGTTAGACATGTTCATGTCGATATGATGTCATGTTATACAATTCAACAACTGCATAAATCCACAATTCGTGCATATATCAACGAATCCCAACATTTTTATCCAACTTCAATATGCTCGTATTCGGGACTGTGGGATCGTAAACACGTCGGGGTCCCAAATAGGAGATGTCGCTGTCCACGGGAGTCTCGCAAGTTCCGTGGGAGTCTCGCAAGTATTGGCCATTTGATTGGCAGTCGTAGGCGAATTCAAAACCAGCCCGGGATGTATATAGGGTTTCCGAAAAGCTAGTTGCTGCATCCCAAAAAAGCGCATCAAAGGAAATGAATATGCCAAGACTTTCCGATCGGAGCTGCGAAGCTGTCTGGTCAACGGGGTGGAGTTCTTCACCCCCTGGAAAAAAAAATGGATAGTCACCTTTCACAATCTTCTTCACCCGATCGTCCTGGTTATGAGTCTCGAGTTTCTCTTCTCATTCCCTTCATCCACCTCTTTCCATTGGAGCACGTGAGCTCGAACCCTCCGAGTCCAAAAGGGTAGGAAGCTCGAGTTTCCTAATCGCCATGGTTCGCCCCCGGCGAACATCAGCCTTGGGCGTGGACATTCGGGGTGACACCAGTGCGCCAGCGATGTCCACGATGAACGAAGTGAGTCCGATCGAGCCATCATCGCCATTTCTGAAGGTACGTATTGAAAGTTATTGCCCGCCCATTCAAACCCCCTCACTAACCCGTAATCCCACCAGCAATTCGATGTCGCACACAAACAGGCCAGCAAGGCGCAGACCAAACGGCGTCGCAGTCGCTCCCTCCTCCATCGCTTCGCGGATACCTGTCTTCGATACACTTGGCTCCTGCCGCTTCTCGTCATGCTATTCCTGCTGGGGTTGTACGCGCTTAACCCCACGACATCGAACCCGATGCACAGCGCGATCTTCCTGTCCTACCCGCAGCCCCCAAAGACTCCCGGTGGCCCCATCATGTACGGTAAGGGCAAAAAGGACATTGCGTTTGTGGCGTTCTACACGATCGTGCTGTCGTTCACGCGCGAATTCATTATGCAGCAGATGATCCGCCCCTTTGCGGTGTGGTGTGGTATCCGTGGGAAGGGGAAAACGGCTCGGTTCATGGAGCAAGCGTATACGGCCGTGTACTTTGGTGTATTCGGGCCGTTTGGTCTGTACGTGATGAAGCGCTCGACTATCTGGTACTTCAATACGACGGCGATGTTTGAGGGCTTCCCGCACCGCGAGCACGAGGGTCTGTTCAAGGCGTACTACCTGCTCGAGGCGAGTTATTGGGCTCAGCAGGCGATTGTATTGCTGCTGCAGTTGGAGAAGCCCCGCAAGGACTTCAAGGAGCTTGTTGGTCACCATGTTATCACGCTTGCGCTTATTGCGCTGAGCTACCGCTTCCACTTCACGTACATGGGCTTGGCGGTGTATATCACGCACGATATCTCCGACTTCTTTTTGGCCACCTCCAAGACGCTCAATTATCTGGATGCGTATATCACCGCGCCATACTTTGCCATGTTCGTTGGATGGTGGATTTACCTGCGTCATGTGCTGAACCTGAAGATCCTCTGGGCTGTTCTGACCGAGTTCCGCACTGTTGGACCCTTCGAGCTGAACTGGGAGACACAGCAGTACAAGTGCTGGATCAGTCAGTACATCACCTTTTCGCTGCTCGCCAGTTTGCAGGCTGTCAACCTATTCTGGCTATTCCTGATCCTGCGCATCCTGTCCAACTACATCTTCACCAATGTCGCAAAAGACGAGCGCAGCGAGGACGAAGAGGAAGAGGAAGCGCTAGAGTCTGCCAATGCGACCAAGGCAATTGCCAGTGGCGCAGACCAGACTGGCAAGGAGAACCACGCTCCTCAGGTTCTGCTCAACGGCGAGCCTGTCACTGAACAGCGTGGTCCTCGGACTCGCAGCAGAAAAGCATAAGTCGAGCGCTTTTCTTGAAGTTTGATCGATTACCATTTAATCGATCAGCATTCAATCAATTACCCGGCATCAAAGTCGGGGACCTTCACAGTTTTATAGTTATGCATTGGATCAAGTGTGTCTCCAGCTGATCCTCTGGATGTTGATATGCTGTTATGTATTTGTTGGAGCTGGGTCTGAGCCCGGTACATTGGCAGTGCCTGTTAGATAGCCCTCTAGAAGAGCGGGCGCCGGCGCTTGTTTTGACGAGCATATGAATTAAATAATTTTTACTAAATTTTCTGTCTCTTGATGTTCTATTGCCATTCATGTACATCATTTGTGTTTTTTTAACATAGTTTTTGAGTCCATGGACGTCATTTACCGAGCAAATATGAAACAAAGGGACTGAACTACAACCAACCATATTTATTGTAAGCAATTAATTGTCTTTTTAAAAAGAATACTCCCAGCGACATGATATCAGATAGACTTGAATCTTTCCTTCTCCACGACCAACATTCGCAAGCCGAATATCATGAATAATGAACTTCATCCAAGATAGAGGGGATTATTACCTTCATGTCCTGGGATGAATCCGACGTGAAACAATACCAAGTACAGTAATGATCCCAACAAGGACAACAGCCAGGAAGATGTCGAAAAGCGGATATCAACCCTTTCCCGGTGTTTCAAGGGAGTCGAACCTCATGTTGAAGCTTTGAAGGTAGTGCGAAAGAGAAACACGACTGAGCTAGGTTCTCGTTTCCAACGAGATAGAGCTCTACGTTTCTCAATTATGTCGTCTTCCTCGGACCTCAGGTACATTTGCTTTGGTCTTATACTACGACCCTATACGAAGTCTTCGCAAAATATTCGGATGATAGAATTTCCAGTCTAGCAATGAATTGAGTGTATACTGAGCTT